ATGAAATGTATGTGTTTCAAGGCCAGTAGAACCACGACAACATGAGTTTGTGTAAAGTGTATTTATTTCATGAGGTCAATAGATCCATGATAACTTAAGTGTATATGAAATGTATGTGTTTCAAGGCCAGTAGAACCACGACAACATGAGTTTGTGTAAAGTGTATTTATTTCATGAGGTCAGTAGATCCATGACAACATGGGTTTATATAAAATGCATTTGCTTCGAGGCCATTTGGACCGTGACAATATGGGTTTATATAAAATATATTTATTTCACGAGGTCAGTAGACCTATGACAAATGAGTTTCTATAGAATGTGTTTATTTCACGAGGTCAGTAGAACCTTGACATTATGGGTTTATATAAAATATACTTATTTCAAGAGGTCAGTAGAATCCTGACAGCATGGATGTATATAAAATGTATTTATTTCAAGGGGTCAATAAAACCATGACAACATAGGTCTATACATTATGTTTTTATTTCAAGGGGTCAATAACGCTATGACCACGTAGGTTATGCAGTATGTATTTATTTCAAGGGGTCAATATAACCATGACAATATGGGCTTTTGCAGTATGTATATATTTCAATAAGTCAATAGAACTTTGACAATATGTGTTTATAAAACATGTGTTTCACGAAGTACAGTTCTTTGAACAAACATATTCGCTACATATATACACCTCTAGTGAAAACAAAATGATTGGTTTAATGTTTGTTATTTGAAGTTAAGCACAAAGCTACACAATGGGCTATCTGTACTCTGCCCACGACGGGTATCGAAACCCGGTTTCTAGCGTTGTAAGTCCGCAGACATACCGCTGTGCCACTGGGGGGGGGGGGCGGTTTAATGTACAATATTATAGATTAATTTCAAATAATTGACAAGTTGATTTACAGAATAATTTGTATTTTCTTAACGATAGACTAATATCAAACTCTTTCCCGTCACCGATATAGATAGATACAGAGATAGCACACATTTCTAAACAACATGCGTCGGCCCCCTTTTCTCGAACTTCACAGCTTTTTCTGGTTTTACCAGGTTCGTGTCTACTTTAACAATTGTACCCTACTAAGAAAGGTATCTTCCTACTCATCGGTAAAGTATAGTTTTGTTTATTATTAGTCACAAAGCTACACAATGGACTATCTACGCTATGTTCACCGCGAGTATTGAAACCTAATTTGTAGCATTATAAGTTGCTGAGCCATATGGGGGTTAGCTTTTTGTTTGTTTGTGGAATTTCGCGCACAGCTACTAGAGGGATAGCCATCCTTACTTTTGAAGTAATAGAATAGAGAGAAAGCAACGCCACCCTCTGCCAACTCTTGGGCTAGTATTTACCAACAAATAGTGGAATTGGCTGTCACTTATAACGCCTCTACGGTTAAGAGGGCAAGAATGTTTGATACGAACCTGCGATCAAATGTTGCGATATACGAACCTGCGATCAAATGTTGCGATATACGAACCTGCGATCAAATGTTGCGATATACGAACCTGCGATCAAATGTTGCGATATACGAACCTGCGATCAAATGTTGCGATATACAAACCTGCGATCAAATGTTGCGATATACGAACCTGCGATCAAATGTTGCGATATACAAACCTGCGATCAAATGTTGCGATATACGAACCTGCGATCAAATGTTGCGATATACGAACCTGCGATCAAATGTTGCGAGCCGAATGCCCTAACCACCAGACCACGCTAGGCCTTAGGGTTTAGCAATAGAAATACATCATTGAAATTAATATATTCAGGTTTAAAGATGTATGGACGTGTGAAGGTGCTTGTGTATAATAATGCCATAAAGAGGGGGGGGGGGTCTCATGACGTCATTCAATACGAGCATCTATATTTTCTTCCCTCCTTCTACAGGGTTATCTGAAATACTCTCCAATATTCTACGGCTACTACAGTAACAGAGAAATGACTGAAGAGGGTTATCGCCTACCACTGGCTTACTTCCTCACTTCTTTAGCTGTGTATGTCTTCAGTTTTGTTGCTATTCTTAGAAGGTAAGTAGCCTAACTTTGATGACGACTTTACAGTTAGTTACGTAGTGGACTGAAGTGGTAGAAACCATTTTAATAATTTTATTTATTACATAATAAACAACTTTCAAGGCTTTTAAATCAAAACATATATATATATATACATCATTACTCGCAAAATACATAGGTGTTACTGCCTAGAAACTGATGACTTAAATCATTACTCGCAAATTGCATTGGTGTTACTGCCTATAAACTAATAATTTAAATCATTACTCGCAAAT